TGTATCTGTTTACTATCAACACAAATAATGGCTATGCAAAGATTTTCACCTTAACTTGTGATTTTAATTATTGGAAAGTATGTCTTTAGTTTTCATTTTTGTAACTGACTAATTTTAAATTACATACCAGCAGCTATTTTGTTTATATGTAATTTATCAGAAACAATAAATTATATATTCCTAAATACCCTTTATATATACTCCTATTACATATCCCTAAATATTTCTATGCAAAATTCACTCAAATTGCCCATCACTAGAATATGAAGAGAATCTCTCTTATTGCATGAATGCTTTGAAGTTTATGTTAATATCTTTTATATAGTTTCCTTCCTCTCTCTTCTATTTTTTCCCATAAGTACTTTGTACTGAACAACTTCAAACCCTATGAAGTCAATAGAACTGCTTTCATCCAGTAGATCCATGGACTTCTATCTTTTACCTGAAAGATTTAAAAAAAGAGAAAGATGTCTAAATGTAATATACATATGTGAAACATCTAAACAATTCTTAACTTCTCTGAAAAAAAATGTTCAAAAGTCCACATATTCAGAAAGGTGATCATGGCTGCAGTAGAAAAATTCCCATTGACTTACTGTATGCTTGAATGAGATTTGGTGGCCTAAATCTGCAATATCAAAGCAATGCGGCTCTCTCCCATTGAACTGAAAACAAATGAAGCATTAATTCACAAAGTAGACAAACATATGCTTTATTTTGAGCATATGAGTTGCTCCATTCACTTTGATTGAATTTAAAGTCATGCACCCACTTACAAACATACATAGCAACTTCATGATATAAGTCTTAGTGAAATGTAAATCAAAATCAGTTCTATTTTACAAGCCCTAAAATATGAAAGTGATTCTGTATCTTATAAGTGTTTAAAGTAAAAATGGTCTCATTTTTGTGTCATGTTTCCAGTGTTGCTTTCACTGAAACAAAACAACAATATAAATAAACCCCAACAGTAATTAATAATCTGCCTCCACTTCCTTCTGGCTCAAAATGGTAACTAAATAATTTAGATGAACTTGTACTACTGATGAGCCGTCTGTTTTAACCTCACTGCACTAAGGAATACCCTTTGTCTCAAATAGGCAGCATTATGTCTAATCCCCATGCTTTTTCTGGGGTCAGATAGCCTTTGTGTGCAGCTGACACACAGATACATGTTTTCATGGCGAACTCTGGGAATATGTGCCAAATCATTCAGGCCAATTTATCCTGACAGTATATTTTATATTTTTACCCTCCCCCAGCAGCAGACCTTCCAATTCAAGGGTATTTTTTAGTAATTGATTTCAAGTGGGTAGAAACATAAAGCACTGGAATCATTAATTTTTGTTGGCAAAGTAAAATAACTTATTCAAGAACAAACTCTCAGGCATTTGCTAAACTCTAGGGAAGAATCAGTTGAAGTTCCCAGTGTAACTTCATATTCTTAAAGGTAATAACTACTCTCTAAAATCTCGCTGTGCTGAAAATTAATTTGTAATCTACTGGCATATGCATTTTTATATGGTAAACCTTCACAAAGTATTTTTAAAGATCTCTGGATCTCTACTAGGAACTATTACTGTTGCAATAATAACAGAGATATGACTTTTATTACCTTTCTATTGGCACAAAACCTGCCATTATAACAGTATTATACTTGAAAAAAAAAGACTTTTGCTGGAATAGGTTATTGTTTGGAAAACTGATTACAAATTATACTGGAAAAAAGTGGGGTTTGTGGTGGTTAACAGTAGGAGAATTTACTAGTATAATTTTACTAGGATATATTTGTCTTTCACTGTCTCAAGTAGTGTACATTTTGGCAGTGAGCAAAATGAGCAGAGCAACTCAAATTTTGCTACATAGTACAAATCATGGCTAGCACAGAAAAATCAGTACCTTTGTCTTCATTGGCTCATTCTTGTTTTTCCTTTGTCCCCTACACAATAAGTTTACCTGCCCCCTTCCCATTCCTTCTCCAGCAAGATCGCTGATCTTCTCCAATAAAATCACTCTTATTTGTCAGCTGAACTATACCAAACTTCCAGGCTTGAAAAATCCTGAATAAGACTACATTTAAAAGTATGACCTGTTTTTACTGGTTTCAATTTATGAGAACAGCCAAGACTGTATTAGACTCTTTGAAAGCATGACTGAGCTCTAGCAGAGACATCCTTGTGACCACTCAGGGGGTGCTGTATTGTTCCAGGCCTTTTGGTTCACAGGAAGGGGACCAGGCTTGACAACAGAATCAAAGAAACTGATTTTGCTGTTAATGTCTCTTTTTCATATTTCTTTTATCCTAAAGTGCCAAAATATCAAACAAGTAAGACAGTTGGTGGTGGGTGGGCAAAACAAAACATAAAATAGTGATACTGCTAAAGCAGTTACAATAACAGAGGTTGGAAACCAGTATGCTGATTCCTTGAAAAATATCCTGTTCACTGTACTGTTAGACGAATACATCCTGAAGCATCTGGAGTGATAGCTGGCTGAATTCAGCTTGTAGAAGAGATGCTTCACCAAAGTTCTTTTGTAAGACAGTGCTAACAGGTACACAATCAGTAACACCGTAAATTGACATAAGCTACAAAAGGCGATACTCCTATTTCTCACATACTATGTTACATCATTGTTTCATTACAATGGAATTACTCCTAGCCTGTACCAGTTTCAATTCCTGAATTATTTATTTTCCTATTCAAAAACAAAACAAAACACCACCCGCCCCCCAAAAAAAACCCCAAACAGAAAATATTACTATTATTGGAAGGCAACTGAAATCAAGTCTTCAATTTCTTTCATTCTGAGAAATAAAAGGCCATTAAATTACTGTACAAGAAGATCACCATGGAGATGCCTTTTGGGGGTAAGCGTCTAGCCACTGGAGTTTCATGGATCATGCCCTGATCCATGTAGTCAATTCCTTGGGAGCGATGAAAAATGATCTTGTCCTGAGGCTACCTTGTTTTTACACTTGGATCTGGATAGGTCCTCAGGTAACCCCAAGATATAAGGAACACAATAACAGCTTATAAATCTGATCTACAGATTCAGGAATGAAGAACTGGGAACAATTCAGTTCTGTACTCCTAAAGAAAAGTCAAAAAAAGCTATTATAAATTTTGATTAATATTGTGGGAATAGGAGAAAAACACACTCCTTGCTTCCACCACTAGAAAGAGAGTTTCAGTCTATATATTCATGTTATGATAAACAGTACGGTCAAATTATTACCGATTTTAAGTTACCATCCCCAGTTTACTGGAAAAAGAAAGCTACTACACAGTAACAGTCTACAATATGAATGGGTTTAGCAGTTATCCGTGCTCTTTTCTGTAAAGAGCGCAACTATAAACACTTGACTTCTAGTTTGGCAATACATATAATACCGGTGCAGATAATAAAAGGAATATAAATATGAGAAAGCAGATAACCAAATCACTTTCTGTCTAATACATGATTAGCTTTTTTTCCAGACCCTGGGTTTGATTCTCCTAAGATTAATCTTGCTGCAATCTTGGAGAAGTTCCACTGGAACTTAAACTTTTATACTGGTGAACAACTTCTGCAGTATTTAAACATGCAGCAATTGGATAATTTAATCAATAACAGTTTAAGTGACAGATTATTGGAAGAAAAATGTTTCATAAACAGAAGGCGGAAGTTAAAGACTTCAGTGAAACTTCTGAGTTCTTTACTAATTGTAATTTTAGTTGAGCCAAAGTTTACCAGGAATCACAGCAACCATTCACTGATGTAAAACTGCCAATAGTAGTGGCACCATTCTGGACAAAGACCGTATCTGTTTTCTCTAGCCAGGATGTTTAAGCGGTGTTGTTTTTCATCTGATGATTATTGGGCTTTGTCATATTTCCCATAAGGGGAAAACCAAACTGTTCATTCTGTTAGCCAGAGGAGAAATCTCCACCATCTCTACAAGAAACGGGAGGTTGAGTCTTGTTCCACAAAGTGGACTTTATGTTTACTAGAACTTTACCTCAGTTACTCTGCAGATTTCTATTTATTAAAATATATGCTTAATTGCTTTGGTTTATGCCTCTTCCTAACCCCTTTCATTTCTAAGCACAGCTCTCCTGCCTGTGAGAGAGGTTAGTTTGAACACTACCACCACACCTCCACCAGCCAAGAGCGTTTTTAGAACTAAGGCTGGCAAACTGAATTTGTATTCCACGTTATCACTGAACTAACTCTTACTGAAGTTACAGAATACGTTAGTTGGTAGGACATGACTGAAAGAAACAGAATGGGAATAAAGATCCCACAACAGCTTGAACAACCTCTGGTTAGATATGCCAGCCTAGAGCTCGTTGAAAAAGATAAGCTGAGCAACAGGTTACAGATTTGGAAAAATCTGTAAAACTCTGCTGGTACAGACTTTTCTATTTTTCCATTGGTACTTTCTCCATAGAAATCACGACGGCGTGGGAGCAAGGCTGTTCTGCAGGCCTCCACAGTTATTTTCACTTGTGTTTCAGATCATGAACAATGCAGAAGGCTGATACGCTGCAAGGCAGTGTCCTAGGTTGCTTGCATTTTGCTGACGGCTATTTCATTGCCCTCCACCCATGACAAAAACACAGCTTGCTTTAAACTCCCCATGACCTCTACCACTAGAGGGCTGCACTTTATGCGATATGCCCCCCTAGACCTCAATTATCACTGCTTCGAGCAGTGAAATAAGGAGAAATAAGCATATTCTGAGGCATATCTGTAGTAATGAATACTTTCATTAATATTAAGACAATAGTTGTTGAAATGTTTATCATACGCAGCTATTTGGTTAGTTAAGTAGAGCTGCTACTAAGAAACTACCCGAGAGACTAGTTACATAGTTTTAGCTAAATTCTTCAAAGATGAACCTGTCTATTAAACTATAAAAGCCCTACTTATTGGTATCAGAAAAGTTGAAAACGCTTGTCTTAGTGGGACTGGAAGATAACATATTGGGAAATTATTAAACAAAAGGCATTCTGTAGCGACAAGGGGAAGCACTTGTGAAACAGCTGTTGGTAGAGAAACAGACTAACACAGGACAGACATCTGCTGAGTCTGAGGAAATTAGGTCTCAGGATTACCACTTTTTCCTCTAAGCTTATGGAAGATAGATACACTAACAACGCACATGCCGCTTATCACGTTAAAACCCTTTTTTTTATTCTACACTTTAATATTCCTGTTGTTAGGATGAAACAATACTTTTGTTTAAAGCATGCAATCAAGTAAATGTTTTATAAGCTAACTGGAACTCCCCAAGGGAAGACTTGCAGGTGCTGATTCCAATCAGATCTGCCACATAATTAAAATTGGTGCAGGGGGCACCGTAAAACAGATGTGGTCTTAAAACAAGCAAATTGTTTGATTCAATGTTACTACAGATGAATGGGACATACTCAGTGAGATAAGGGGAGCAGTGTTATAATTTATCCAGTTCCACTGCGGAAATTGACTCAAGATGGCTTCATTCGAACATTGTGGGGTTTTTATTTTTGTCTTCAAAATTTTCTAGAAGTCTTTTGCTTAGTTTACAGATAAAAAAGAGGCCTCTTAGGACTGAGGACCCTACAAACTAGACCCGTGATGTTCAAGTCATGCTGTGCTTTCTGGCTCATGTAGTAATAAAAATTCTTCAACTGGAACTTGAAGTAAGGTAACAGAAGCCTAAGGTAACAGAAGCCTGCCAAGGTAACAGAAGCCTAAAATTTCATTTCAGTCAGTAAACTAAGCAATTATGAGTCAGAGATCTTAGATACAAAGGGTCTATGATGAGTAAGAAAGGTTCATTTTCATACAATCATTTTTCTGACCATGTACACTATCAAATTGTGACTGAATCTGCCGCATCTATTTCATCTGCCCGTGAGGAGGCTAGATATCGCATCCCTGGGACACAATTCCCAAAGAAGTCATTGAAAGTTTCCTATGTACAGTGCTGGACTGAGTTGTTGTTTTGTGAATGCTTTCAGGCAGAAGCCTGTTTAGATGTTAAAGTGCCTATGTTTCAATACCCTATAATGCATTATGTATCTGGCTTGCAATTTAAAAGTAGAGGTGATGTGCTGTATTATATATTACACATCAAATCTGTATTTTAAGTAAGTACTAAAAATTCTTTGGGGCAGTATTAATGCTGAGTGATTAGTAAAACTAAAGCTGAGTCTCCCAGGGAGCTTAGAATAGAAAATGGAAATTGGATTTCATCCACAAACAGCCAGGTTTTAAGCTTGCATAGTAAGAGGAATCAAGTCAGCAGGCATTCTGCACACACACATATCAATAGGAATTTAGCACAGAGCACGGTCTAACGCAATAAACGCACATTTCTAAATTCAGTACAGAACTGATGCTCTAGTACTGACCACTACCCTTGCAGTTATATCGGTCTGAGACATTTTTCAAAGGCAATGAGTCAACTAAATAGCAGAGTCGAGTAAAAATGCGTTACGTTATAGTACGTAGCCAATCCCCCCGAGCCTTCCCACC